GACTTTACAGCCGGCTCATTTCGTTTCTCCCAAATCAAGATTCAAGCATATCCATATTGATATCGTAGGCAGACTTCCCGACGATCAGGGTTTCGTTTATTGTCTCACCATCATGGACCGTTTTTCAAAGTGGCCTGAGGCCATCCCCATGAGGAACATGGAGGCTGAGACCGTTTGTCAGGCTTTTGTGGATCATTGGATCTCTAGATACGGAGTCCCTGAGACCGTTACTACCGACCAGGGCAGACAATTCGAGTCCCGTCTTTTCACCGCGCTTTTGAAGGTGTCCGGGTCATACCGAATTCGAACCACCGCCTATCATCCCGCATCAAACGGGATGATTGAACGATGGCATCGCTCGCTCAAAGCCTCCATAATGTGTCATTCTGATCACAGATGGACACGTGTTCTTTCCACCGTGCTTTTGGGCCTGAGATCGGCCGTTATGGAGTGCGGAGCTTCCGCCGCTGAATACCTGTACGGTACAACCTTGCGTTTGCCAGGCGAGTTTTTACTTTCCGATGATTTTTCATGCGATCCTCAGACCTTCTTGTCTGATTTCAAAAAACACATGCGCGAAGTAAGGCCCGCGAAAGTCGCTCATCACTGCAGGCGCAGGATTTTTGTATCAAAAAGTTTGACCTCTTGCTCACATGTTTTTTTACGCGTCGATAAGGTGAGAAGATCGCTTGAACCTCTGTATTCCGGACCGCACAGGATCGTTGGCCGCGTTTCCGATCGACTTTTCGAGATAGAAATAAATGGATCAAACAAAGTGGTGTCTGTCGAGAGATTGAAACCCGCGTTCGTGGTACTCGGACCTGACGAGATAAATAATCTCCAAATTCCGAGATCCATTCCGACGCGGGTGGATCCTCAGCCAGATGAGACGATTTTCAATAACGATTCTAATAAAAAAGATTCGCCGCCACCGATTCCTGTGCTTGTAAGTTTCGAAAGCGATCAACCTTCTGACGATCAAAATTCTTATGACTCTAGTCCTAAAGTCGAAAATCGTGATAATCTTGCAAGAGCGATAACAAATCATGAAAGTTCAAAAATCGCGACTAAAACGAACGTATTACTCGATCACGATTATATCGTGAATCCTCTTGTCAGTATTAATAAACCGAAAAAGTTTCAACCGAATATTTTAAGAAGAAAGAAAGTCACTTTTAGAGAATAGATAGAAAATTGTCAGCGCGAGAAAGATGTAAAATGTCTAGTCTACGTCTGTATTACGTAAAATAATTTTTTTTAAAAAGAAACACGACAGTATTTAAAGAGAAGAAAAATGATCTCATAAATTTTATTCTCATATTATATAAGATATTAGAAAGTATTTTTACCTTTCTATCATTTTTTTTTAAAAAGAGAAATTCTCTCTATACGAATGTATTTTTTTGTATACAAGATCTACTGCTCAGAAATTTGATTGATTCCACATATTTTATTTTTCTTTTTTATAAACATTTAAGAATAATTTTTATTTTGAGTTTTAAAAAAAAACAAAATTCTTTTCATTTAACAAAGTTAATCTTCGTAATTTTTTCTTTTTTGTCATAACAAAATGTAATTTAATTTTCTGTCTACGACCCCAAATATTGTTAATAATTTTTATATATCGTTAACACTTAGGGGGGAGTATATGTGGGGACCAACCTTTAGAGTTAAAGTAGTGCGCGTGCGCCAACCGCACGGAAAGGAAAAGAAGACTGTAGAGATGAGGAGAGTCAGATTGGTTTTGACTACCGGCAAACTGAGCAGTGATCTAAATATCGCTCTGTAAATTCTTTAGTAATATACTGTTGTTAAATTGTTGAATTATCAGTCGTTGATTATTAATTCTAGAACATAAAATCCATTCTTATCCTGAACATCCTGGTAAATTGGAGAAACCATAAATATTCCATATAAATTGCGAGTAAATTCTCCATAATCCCAACCGTAAAGAAAAAATGGATGATCCACACCAATGAAAATAATAATTAAACTCCTCCTACATAAAGGAAGAAATTTTTCTATTTGTTGCTTCAGTTGAACAAAATATGGAGCGAACATATAAAATTTAAGCTCAACCTCTTACAAAAAATAGACTTCTAGCCAATAAAAATAAGATTCAAACTCCTCCTACTCAACGAAAGCAATTTTTTTATTCATTAGTTCAACAGTACAAAAAGGGAGTGAATATTTAATTTTTAAAAAGTTACATTTAGTCTTAACGCGTTAAGAAAAAAAGATTTCTATCCAATAAAAATAAACCCCTCCCCACATAGCACAATAGTATGAGGTAAGGTTATGTTGAATACTAATCGTAAGGCTCATAAGATTACACGATATTGCTGTGGTAGACCTGAGGTGAACTAAAAACTTCCGCCATGGAGGTAAGGTTACATGTTAGGGTGTGGTGACTATATATGATAAGGCCATGGTAACCTTACACGTTAAGGTTGAGGTAACGTTACATGTTAAGGTTGAGGTAAGGTTACATGTTAAGGTTGAGGTAACGTTACATGTTAAGGTTGAGGTAAGGTTACATGTCAAGGCTGAGGTAAGGTAATTATTAAGTTGTAAGGTTGAGGTAAGGTTGTGATAAGTTTACCAGTTATAGAAAATATTGAAAAAATAATTAATAAATAAATATTCAATTAAAATGTTAAGTTTGTTGCTCTTCTCTATTTTGGAAACCTGACATGAAGCAGAAAATTTTGAAAACAAATTTGGGGGGACTGGGATTCGAACCCGGGATCGGCGCGCATAAACCTATCATTCTAACTAACTGAGCTAAGTAGAGAACTGGCAGAAGGAAAATTAATGTTGCCTTTAAGGAGTTAATCATCTTCTTGGTTCACCTTAAAGGCAACATTAATTTTTCTTCTGCCAGTTCTCTACTTAGCTCAGTTAGTTAGAATGATAGGTTTATGCGCGCCGATCCCGGGTTCGAATCCCAGTCCCCCCAAATTTGTTTTCAAAATTTTCTGCTTCATGTCAGGTTTCCAAAATAGAGAAGAGCAACAAACTTAACATTTTAATTGAATATTTATTTATTAATTATTTTTTCAATATTTTCTATAACTGGTAAACTTATCACAACCTTACCTCAACCTTACAACTTAATAATTACCTTACCTCAGCCTTGACATGTAACCTTACCTCAACCTTAACATGTAACGTTACCTCAACCTTAACATGTAACCTTACCTCAACCTTAACATGTAACGTTACCTCAACCTTAACGTGTAAGGTTACCATGGCCTTATCATATATAGTCACCACACCCTAACATGTAACCTTACCTCCATGGCGGAAGTTTTTAGTTCACCTCAGGTCTACCACAGCAATATCGTGTAACCTTATGAGCCTTACGATTAGTACTCAACATAACCTTACCTCATACTATTGTGCTATGTGGGTCCTATTTTCAAAATGCAATGTATTATTTGTTGGTTGAGTTAAACAAAATGGAGAATCTAATTAATATTTGAAAAATAAAACATATAATACCAACCCCCTAAGAAAAAATGAATGAAATTGCCTACCAATGCACCATGCCAACACAGCCTGGACGTTCACGTTTCTTATAATCTCAGATCATCTCAGATTATTTTTTCAGATCAAAAATTAAATTCAAAAATATAATTATTTACCGACAACCATATCGGAATAATTATCTTAAGAATAACACCTGACTCTAAACCAAAGAGTTCAATTGACGTCTAATAGATGTCACTAATTGCTGATATAGTCGAAATCTTCCTTAATTAAAATTCTTCATCAGCAAATAATTTCCTACATTAACTATACAGCTCTTCGACTAGTGTATGGGCTTGATCTGAGATTATAAGAAACGTGAACGTCCAGGCTGTGTTGGCATGGAGCATTGGTAGGCGTTAGTCCCGCGAAAGGCAGCTATTAACTGGGGTTCGAGTCCTCACAGATGCACAGTGCAGTCGTTCACGCAGCTTATTTTTTCAGATCAAAAATTAAATTCAAAAAATATAATTATTTACCGACAACCATATCGGAATAATTATCTTAAGAATAACACCTGACTCTAAACCAAAGAGTTCAATTGACGTCTAATAGATGTCAGTAATTGCTGATATAGTCGAAATCTTCCTTAATTAATAAAATATATAATTTTCACAAGAAACAGTACATATTAAACTAAATGTAAAATAAAATGAAACGCCTTTTACTGTAAGTTTTTTAAAATTAAGAAAATTTGTCAAATTTTGAAAAATGAGAATTTTAACAAGCTGTGAACTGTTAAAATGTAGTACATTTTGAGATATGAATCGAGTTTTGTCAAAAAATTGTGAAAATGAATGAAAAGTATGAGGAAATTCCCAATTTTTTAAAATTTAGCAGATTTTTTACATTCCCAGACAAATCATTTTAATTTGTTCGATGATAATGAAAATGGTCATGTCGTGTTTATTTAAATTTTCCTGTGTTTATTGAAAGTTCAGATAGCGACTGCAGGTTTCCAGTGATTATTAAAGTACTTTTCAGTTCTGAGCCTCAGTTTTAAGCTTTCAGTTTTAAGCTTTTATTTAAGCTCTTGTAGAGATTTTTATCATGTTGCGTTTTCTTGTTACACTGCCTCAAAAAGTGCTAAAAATGCGGTTTTTTGGAAACTTTAATCTCGTTTTGTATGAGAATGACCGAATAAAAAAATTTTTTCTGGTACATTCTTATTCAGTGACACCTAAACTTTAAATAAACACAGAAAATTTTAAATAAACACGACTTGCCAATTTTTTTGTAACCCAGTGCAATCATTAATATACCTAACTACAAATCATTATTATAAAACCATTATTGGTTTTACATAATTAAATAAATATAATTAATGATTAATAATTAACTACTTACATTAATTTATAAATTTATTTATTTTCTTATTTCACCTTTGAAATGTTGCAAAATTTCATTTTTCTATATTATATTTAAATGTTAAAACATTTTTATTCACCTAAATTTTATTTACTCGAATATTTACATGATTTAAAGAATTTTTAACCTAATTCCCATATGACATTTTTCAAATTTCCCAACTATTTTTTAACACATAATGCAAGTCTCAGAAATTTTATTTTTGTCTTAAAATATTACAGAGATGGGAAAAATATTTTAAAATTTCATTGCTATTTTAGGAAAAATGATATTTCTGGGACTTGGATTAAAATATTAAAAAATAATTCGTAAATTTTGAAAATTACAACAAACGAAATTTCGGATAAATGAATTTTTTGTTAAATGGTTTTGGCATAATATTTTTCTCGTAAAGATTATCCACAGTACCCTAGCTGAGTTAATATTGCTAAATTATATAGGTTAGAGAACATTTGCAAAAGTAAATGCATTTCATAAATTTGATTTAACTGCTGAGAATGAATGTAAAGACTCAAATAAAGGCATCTGAAAAAAATTTTTTTGGTAAATTAAATAGAAGAAACTTATTTATGAATATGTATATACTTACTTTATTTTTTGCAAACAACTCTTCTTTTCTTCTGTTAAATTTCTAGACTCTAAATAAATTGTTTCTATTGACGAATGAAAATCAGAAGCATCAGATGCATTTGCGTTGAATGCAGAATGTTCTAACAGATCATGTAAGATTGATCCATTTGAATTTTTCTCAAACTTTTCTATCAGCAAGTTGTTTAAGAATTTGATTTTAATAGCAATGAATCTGTTACATAAAATAAAAAAATTATTTATTTCTTAAATAACATATGTTTCTAAAAAACTTGTAAATTATTTTCAGTTGCTTTGTGATTTTAAAATACCATAAATATACGTACTTGATATTTGAGTGTATATTCAAATCTATAACTGTTGGAAAGTAGAACACCGAAAAATGTATTCCATACAATTGCCATTGTTTATACATACAAATTTCTGTCATGAAGCCTAAACATGAAAAAGCAAATATCCATCCTAGTAGACTTTTAAAAGTTGTACTATAATTTTCCTTGGAGCCAAAATTTCTAGTCGCATCAATCAGTTCCATCATACTTTTATAAAGATCATTCAACTTCTATTAATTTGAAAGGCACAAATTACAATTCTTGTAGGAACTTTTAACATATGCTTGAATTTCGTCTTAAAATTATTATCACGTACCTTAAAATTAAACCAACCGTTTATGTGAGCAGCAAATATTACTATTGTGTCAATCACAAATACTCCTTCGAAAACATATGCAAATGAGCTTATCGAGAGATTATCAGACTGTAATCCGTGAAAAACGTCACAAATCATCAAACAAAGAATACCTGTAGTAAGAATAAAATTAATAATAAAAATTAATAATAAAAATTAATAATAAAAATTAATAATAATAATTATTCAATCAAATAATTACAAAATCAATAAAGAATGAACATAAGTTGTTTTTTGTTAGTCATTAATAAATTATTATTATTTAGTGGAGCCATTTGCAGATAATTTTGCAGAACATACCTAAAAATATTATTACCGGAATGGAACGGAATTTATTATATTTCGTACCGCCTAAGGGGTATCCACTGAAGCCAAAGATTGACAGCCAGTTTATGAAAATCAGAGGATAAATACTTTCACGAACGTTATTCGGAACCCACTTTACAAGTTTCAATAGGGGCGCATGATTATTCCCCAAATGTCATTTTTCCGAAATGTCATTTTACCGAACTGCACTTTTGCGAATAGTCAATTTTGCGAAAAGCCAATTTTGCGAAATGTCACTTTTGCGAATTGTTATTTTTTCGAAAAGCTATTTTTGCGAATTGTCATTTTTGCGAATCGCAATTTTTACGAATTGTCAATTTTTTCAAAAAGTTATTTTTGCGAATCGACATTTTTACGAATTGTCAATTTTCCGAAAAGTCATTTTTGCGAATTGTCATTTTTACGAAAAGACATTTTTGTGAAATGTCATTTTTGCGAAAAGAGATTTTTCTGAAATGTCATTTTTACGATTAGTCAATTTTTCGAAAAGTCATTTTTGCGAATTGTCATTTTTGAGAAATGTCATTTTTGCGAATTGTCACTTTTGCGATTTGTCAATTTTTCGAAAACTCATTTTTTCGAATTGTCATTTTTACGAAAAGACATTTTTGTGAAATGTCATTTTTGCGAAAAGCCATTTTTGCGAATAGTCATTTTTACGAATTGCCATTTTTGCGAATTGTCAATTTTCCGAAAAGTCATTTTTGCGAATAGCCATTTTTACGAATTGTCAAATTTCCGAAAAGTCATTTTTGCGAATAGCCATTTTTACGAATTGTCAAATTTCCGAAAAGTCATTTTTGCGAATTGTCATTTTTGCGAAAAATACAATAGAAACTTGTAGGTATCTATAAATTCACTATTGTATTTTTCGCAAAAATGACAATTCGTAAAAATATCGATTCGCAAAAATGACAATTCGCAAAAATAGCTTTTCGCAAAAATAACAATTCGTAAAAATGGCAATTCGTAAAAATGGCGATTCGCAAAAGTAACAATTCACAAAAGTGACAATTCGCAAAAATGGCAATTCGTAAAAATGACTTTTCGCAAAAATGACATTTCACAAAAATGTCTTTTCGTAAAAATGACAATTCGCAAAAATGAGTTTTCGAAAAATTGACAAATCGTAAAAATGGCGATTCGCAAAAATGACAATTCGCAAAAATGAGTTTTCGAAAAATTGACAAATCGTAAAAATGGCGATTCGCAAAAATGACTTTTCGGAAAATTGACAATTCGTAAAAATTGCGATTCGCAAAAATGACAATTCGCAAAAGTGACATTTCGCAAAATTGGCTTTTCGCAAAAATGACTATTCGCAAAAGTGCAGTTCGGTAAAATGACATTTCGGAAAAATGACATTTGGGGAATAATCATGCGTCCCGTTTCAATAATCTCTCCATTGCTCTTCTTTTTTGTTCGAGTACAACAGTGACAATGTAGTAAATAATTATGAAACCTCACTTACTATCTTTAGAATATATTTTGCAAATTATATGCTTGCGTTCTCTTCATGCTATACACATATAATTGCAGCAATTATATGGCAACAACTGAATTATTTAGATTGATTTCTATCAACATTTGCATGTTTATTGCGAATCCTCTCTGTCAACTTCTGTTTAAAATCAGCCAGATCTATGACTTTCTGATATCTGATATATTCTGATATGTTATTTATAGAAAAAATAGAATTTTTTCTCTTATAAGGAACTCAACTTTTCTTAAAATCAACATCGCTTTTTACCCAAATAAACTATTTAGTTTTAGAGCTGACGATTTTCAATTGCTGATAAGTATTTTAAACACTTTGTTGTATGAAACAAATGTTTCATTGAAATGAGGAAATTTTTTAAAAATAATTAAATTTTCAAGAAGATTTTTTAAATTTATAATCATAATAATTGGTATTTTGTTGAGATATTTTTGTAAATTTTGAACATAATTGAATTTTTTATCAATCATTTGTAACTTCTTCAAAATTCAAATTTTGTAGTGTTTTTAACTAAAATTCATTTATAAATTAATTATTTTTAATAATTAACTTTTCTGTCATCAACATTAGAGGGGAAGTTAACCTCAAATCACGTTCGTTACTTAAGTTTAATATTTTCCCCATTTGGTTCTATTGAAGAACTCTCCGCCTTTAGAAAGGGGGAGTTTGAATTTTATTTTAATTGGTCTAAAACATCCATTTTTTCTTTTGGGGGTTGGAATTATATGTTTTATTTCTTAACTAATAATTTTTTCTCCATTTTGTTTAGCTCAACCAATGAATAAAAATATAGGAGGAGTTTGATTTTTTTATTGGCTAATAGCAGTTTTTTTCGTGAGGGGTTGAGACTTATATTTTTTAAAGTTTGATATTTTCTCTATTTTGTTCTATTGAACACACGAATAAAAACTAGCTTTTATTAAGAGGGAGGAGTTTAAATTTTAATTTAATTGGTCTTAAACATCCATCTTATCTTTGGGGGGTTGGGACTAAATTTTATCTTTATTAAATATAAATATTTTCTCCATTTTGTTCTATTGAAGCCACAAATAAGAAATACTTTTCTTTAAGAAGGAGGAGTTTTAATTTTATTTTAATTGGTCTAAAACATCCATTTTGGGGGGGGGGGTTGGAATTATGTTTTATTTCTTAAATAATAATTTTTTCTCCATTTTGTTTAACTGAACCAATGAATAAAAATGTAGAAGGAGTTTGATTTGAATAAATGAGAGGTTGTTTTCTGACTTTAATTTCTTAACTAAAAATAAAAAAAAATTGGACAAGTGCGAGTTGTACTCGCACTGCAATGGCGGGTTCCGCACACAAATATTAAAACAATACTTGTAACATTGATCGGTAATTGGTAGAATTAAAATAAACAATTATAAAAATATATTAAAATCATTTGATAAAAAAAAATAACTAAAAAAAGTTAAAGTATTGTATATCTAATATTGTAAACAATAATAAGCAGAGGAACTATAATAAATTTTGAAAATTTTGTTCCTCTGCTTATTATTGTTTACAATATTAGATATATACAATACTTTAATTTTTTTTAGTTATTTTTTTTTATCAAATGATTTTAATATATTTTTATAATTGTTTATTTTAATTCTACCAATTACCGATCAATGTTACAAGTATTGTTTTAATATTTGTGTGCGGAACCCGCCATTGCAGTGCGAGTACAACTCGCACTTGTCCAATTTTTTTATTTTAAATTTTTATTTAAAAGTGCAAACAAACTTACTTACTATGTACCAAAGCGTTTAATTTTTTATTTTCAAACGCCGGTTTTTCATCTTTTCCTTTTCCCTTCATTGTGTAGAGCTTTCCCACATTATAAGTCATTAAATGATTCATAATATTAGTGACGGTCATTCTCGTTGAAAAAGATTTTCCTAAATAAACTGCAGCACCTGACTGAAATGGATAACAATAAATTACTATGTAAAAATGAGTTTCATGAAACTTTGATTGTTACCTATCAACTGTTCATTTTTCAAATTTTTTTAAAATTGTGATTTAAAAGAATTTGATGTAGTTTTTCCCCCGTTTTCATGATTACCACATAAAATTTTAAGTTTCTTTTCTTAACCTCTGATGATGTGAATCACATGTAAAATTAAATTTGAAGTTTTAATAATTTTTATTTTAAAGAATTAAGCAATTTAAAGTTCTTGAAAATAAAAAAATTCGTTGAAGAATTAAAAGGTTTCAAGGGTTCTGGAGGTCACTAAACATCAAAATAAAAAAAATTTCCCATTATTTACAAAAAAATTCCATATTTTCGGTACTTTTGAAAATTTTCTTTTATTTTTCCCTTATTTCTATAACTAATTTTTTCTGACTTTCCTGATTTTATAAAAAAATTAATTTTTATAAATAACTAAAAACGCTTACGAGTTTGTTGAAAAATGCTGGAACAGCTAATTTAATTTCAACGTTATCCAATTCCAAAGTACTGGTCACAGGAAATATTTCCAAATCTTTATCTGGTGAAGAAAATGTTGCCGTTACTTCATTGACAGGGGTATTACCACTTGCGTTTCGAGCATCAATTTTCATTTCCACGACATTTAGTTTTCGCAAAACAACACGTCGTGTGGGCTTCATGGGGGCTTTTTCCACACGGGTAACTTCATTTCTTAACAGAAAAAACAATTTTCATGAGAAAACTTATCAGCGAAACAGCAAAATTTTTTTTGATAAGGTGAATCATTTGACCAATTGTAGTTCTCAGTGTCATCATGTGCCTCTAGTAAAAGAGCTAAAACTTCATTTTTATGCAGATGAAATGGGTAATGACTTTCAGTCATCTGAAAGCGCGACTGCTGACGGATTAATTATGGCACTTCTAGAATAAAAATAATGCAAGTGAGATAACCTGCAAGCCTTTCCCCTATATATAGAAATTTTAATTTAAAAATATGTTTTATCAAGTTTTTCAAAAGAAAAAATTATAACAAATGAAAATAAATTTGATGTAACTTACTTTAGTTATTCAATATTTTATTTTATTATTTAATTTATTAGTTGATATAACAAGTAATATTATATGTCTACAAATAAAGAAAACGTATATATGGACTTAATATAATCAGCTTTTTTTAAATATTTTTTTATTAAAATATTAATAAATTAATAGTTTAGTTAGTGATGTTTTAAAAAAAGAATCCGGGAAAATTTAATTTTTCACCTGGGAGATCCAGGAATTTGAAAATCATAATTCGATAGACACTTTGTGCTAATAGTGAAACTTTGATTTTCAATCTTTTATGCATTAAGTCAGGGTGTCTAGCGAACCAGGAAAACCCCGGCAATTTTTTTTAAATTCGTGAATTTTTTTTATTAAGTACTTTATTTTGTTGTTGGAAAATATAGTTACATTTTTTAACGCTTAATTTAATTTTTCTTTAATTTCGAGTTATATATTGATTCTCTTCGTATATTAGAAAAAGGCACAAATTTTACAAGAAAAAATTGATAATTTGAATAATCGGATTTAAAAAAAAATTTTTAATTTTTTTTTAATAGGTTATATGAATATAAATATGTATGTATGTACATATATATATATATATATATATATATAAATATATATATAAATATATAAGCTATTAGACTAATTTTACTAGAAAAAAATTAATAATTTTTATCATCAAATACAAAAAGCAAAGATTTTATTTCTCAGATCTAAATTTAATATACCTGATATTATCAAGTCAAGTAAGACATCTGTTATTTGAAATGTTTTTATAATAATTTATACATAAAGTATAATTTTGTTCAATGTGAGTTAAAGATGATTTTCTACAGAATGAGAATTATTTATAGGTATTAACGTATAATTTTTTTTCTCAGAAAATGCAAGTCGTCAAACTTGGATTAAAAAAATTCAAAAACTTTTAAACAATCTTATTGTTTAATTTTTCATAATTAGAAATATTTTTAATTTGCTAAAAATAATTTAGTTTCAAGTAGATAATCTTTATTTGCGTGTAGAGACAAAAATAGTATTTTCTAAGATTAAGATTCAAAATTTTAAGTTAATATTCATAATTGTAATTTTTAAATAATTTTTATACGAAAATTTGAATTATTTAGAAAAAATGTTAAATTTAGGAAAATTCGACATTTTTGTAAATTCTATGAAATTGGAGTTGGAAGGGGAGATGAAGTTGAGGAAGAAAAAGTCCCAGCACCTTTTTCAAAGGAAAACTCAGTAAAAATGGGACGGACCCAAAGTTCACCAATTAGACCCTTTTCTTAATGCATTTTTTCTCCATATTGTTTTTCTTAAAACAATCCTAAAATAGCCAACCTCTTTTTCCCTTTCTACAATATTTCCATCCCCAAATTTTCCTCCCTTAAGAAAATTGGTAGTGGTATAATTGATATAAATATACATGTTCTTTGACAAAAGCTCAGTTATCTTTTAAATTTCTTCAAGTTCTCAGAAATTCTTCTAAAGAACAAAAAGTCTCAAGTCTCATTTATTTTCAAATTTTCAAGGTTCCCACTTTAAAATATTTAAATTTCAATTGCTATAATTATTAGTAAATCACAACTCACAAGTTTTAAATTCAAGTTCCTGATTTTTACTGAACTTCAGCCCAGTTTCCAATTCCAGTTTCAACTTTCAAACTGTAAATTCAACTATCAGTTTTTATAGAAGTAAATAAAAATTTATATTTTCCTATATCTTCCTTATTATCAATTTTCCCAATTCCGGAAAGGTTTTATACGTCTTCAGCGAATGTATGGAATTTATTCCACTTATTTTTTATTAATCCTTATTTATTGAATTAAGAAAAGAAAGAGAAAAGAAAGTGTTCCCAAGCTATTGGATGTAAAAATTCAGGCTTAAAACAAATTATTTTAATTAAATTTAAATATTTAATTAAATAAAATTAGTATTGTTATATTCATCTTTTTGGACCACGTTTAGCACTATTTTTGAACAGTTTTAAAAACTAATATAAAACTCATGCAGCTAATACAGATAAAACTATTTTGCTTTTTATTAATCTTTAATACATATGTTAAAAGCTATATATAATATATAAAGTATACATTATATTTAAAAAGTATATTGTTTTCTGATTATGCAGTAGTGTCACAATTTTATCTTAACGACCATCTTCGAAGAACAATTGGTGAGAAAACATAAGGTTGTATTTTTAATAAATTCACTGGAGATTTCTGGTATTCCTTTAATACATCTTGAGTGCAATAAAGAAAGACTCGATAATTTTTATTATCAGTAGAGCGAAAGAGGGAATAAGCATCGATGATGCATTCATCATTCTCTCCATTTGGTATAAGAACGCAATGTTCTTTTAATCCTTTGGTACAATTACTGGCTCCAAATGTCACATGGAATATAAATTCAGATTGGATTTTTATTAAATGTTTGATACTACGAATGTTGGTAATGAGAGGTTCATAAGACTTTTCATAATATTTTTTGTATTTTTCTGCTTCCTTCTCCAGCAGTCCTTTAAGTAATGGATTATTTATATCAACTTTCATTGGAATTTCCATCATGATAACTGAAATCATCAGAAAAAATGTATTTTCTAATTTGATTGGTTTACAAAAATGTAAAAAAAATTCCAATCCAAAATTGCTAAGGAAAATTACTATTTTATAGTATAATTATAATTATGCCACATATTTAATATGTGGCATATTCCCACGTCGTCAAGTGATCCGGGTCCAAATTTGAAATGTTTGGGATTAGGTTCAAAGCTTGCACAAACAGTAGTCCTATTAGATACAATTAAAAATACCAAATATTACTAATTTATTTGAACAAACTGAAGGGGGTTAAAGTTTAAACTTTTTGTCTTAGATGGAATATTTGAAAAATTTGTAGTTTCTTTAAAACAAGAAGGAAAAGATGTTTTCTATTATGGAATTTTTAGCTGTTATTATGCACTTTCTAATGATATAACATATAAACAATTAAAAAAAAAAAAATTTTCATATTTTTATTAAATGAACATTTTTTATTTTTTCAAACATAATTAATAATTACTTGTTTATAAAAATTCATATATTTTTAAACAACAGAATTGAAATATTTCGAAAACCTAATTTTTCAAAATTTCAAATAAAACCTTTCCGAGACTTTAATGTAAAAAAAAATTCGAAATTTTAATGTTTTTAACTAAGAAAAATTTTAATTGTAACTTTTTCCAAATTAAAATATTTTAGATGTAATTTGGACCCTTTTAATATATGAATATAAAGTACCTAAACAAAAATTATTTTTCCTATGTAATAAATTATTTTCGTATTTTTTATTGTTACCTGGAAATTTAGATAATTCTGCTTCCGCTAATTTATACATAGTTTCTTTCATCTAAAAAAATTTCTTAATTATTAAAAACCTAAATTTATTTTTCTTTAATGTTGTACATATTAATAAAGAAACAACAAGAATGCGCTATTCTAATTTCTAATTTTCTAATGCGCATATAACATAAAATAATGCGATATGTGTACATTTTTAATGAAAGCTTGACCATACATTAAAAACAGAATACATAAAAGTTACTTTAAAATACTTGAAATCAAATATAATAATTATTGTAATGAAACGGATATATTCAAATCCATTTAATTTTTGAAATAAATAATATGCGATTTTATTCACTATTTGGAACAATTATAAATAATTAATTGTTGATTTTTATTATTGTAACTTTTTTTTGTTTTTTATTTAAAAACTAGACATAAGATCATAGTTTTTATAAAAGATTAATTATTTCAATAAAAACTGTTAATGAAAAAAAGTTTTTAAAAATCGTAAAACTGTTCATATGAAAAACTTACATGTTTATTGGTAGGTAGAAAAATACAGTTTTTGATGGAAATTAAAAGACAAATTAGTTGAAAAGTAACTTTTGACATGATTGAACAACTATTATTTCTTTTGTTTGAAGTAAAACGAAGAAAAAATATATGATATTGATTTTTTTCTGTCTTATAAGGTTGTTAGGCAAAACAAATGATATTTATATGTGTATTTCTATTTATGATTCTTCAATTCTATAATATTCTCTAAGAAAAAATAATTTACAAAAGGGTGTATAAGTAATAATTAATAAGAAAAGAAATCCACTATCTTCAAATAAATTATCTAAATTACTTCATTAACTTAATTTTGAGTTAAAATTATAATTCTCTAAATAAGACAGAACTCACATTTTTTAAAAAACATTGAAATCTTTATTTATTTAATAAATTTATAAGATGTAATTAAATAATGAAAACATTATGATTGAGATAATTACTTAAAAAAGTAAAAAATTACACTTAAATTTTAATTGAGTACTTGTTTTACACTTATAAATAGTTAAAAGCAAACTCACAGTTGTGGGGCTCAAAGAAAAAGTGGTATAAAATAACAGTGCGAGCAAAAGTGAGTTAACTTTTCTGACGGGTAAGAATGGGCCAGATGAATGCTGCGAGGAAAAACAGAATTTCTTTCGAGCGCGAGCAAAAGCGGGCTAAATGGCTATCCCATTTTTGCTCTTAGTCAAAAGTTGATCCGCTTTTGCTCGCACCGTGAAGTCTATAGTAATGTCGAGATACGAGCCGTCGCTACATTTTGACAATTTGACGTTTGATTCCATTTCGTTTATTTTACTTTTATTTAATTGTTTCAATGTGTGAATAATAAAATAAGAATAAATAATAAAAATAATAATAATAATGTGTGAATATTGATAGAATATTCCTTTAAAGTGAACAGAATATTTCTTCCAAAACTTATTTTTAATATTTTGTTGTTGTTGAAAAATTTGTTAGTTACATTAAAAATATGATCATGTTATTTATTTATTTATATGTAGATAAATAATTTCCTAATATTTTTCAAGTTTTTAACATGCTAATTTTTACTGGAAAACTTTTTCATTTTTCTCGAAAATTTTTCTCGAAAAATTATTTTCAAAAGGTTGTTAAATAACAAATTTTAATAATTGAAATTAACAAAAAATTTCAAGTCAAAATTCCTAAACATTATAACTCTATTTCTTCCAAAGTTCAATTATTAAAATTTTTTTAATAAAAGTTTAGTTTCATAAGTCAATTTCAATTATTGTAATAAAATTTTTTAGAAATTCAATTATGTTTAAAAAATCTCGCATTAAAAATTCCTTAAAATGTAATTACTGACCTAAATTTGTGAAAAAAAGTAAGTATTTCAAATATACAAAAATTTGTATTTCAAATTTCCTACATTTATATTATTTACAAACTTTTTAACAAAAATTATATTTCAAATTAATTATTTTCAAAAAATTATAGTATGAAATTTAAGGCAAATTTTTAGCAATTAAAATTTACAAATATTCGTAGTTTAATTTTTCTAAAATTCAATTTTTATTAAATATACATTAGAATTTAGATTGAAATTTTAAATAATTAAATTTTAATGTGCCTGAAGTTGCCATCGATGCTCAGCATCGAAATTTTTTTTTCATCAGACCATCAATTTTTTCGCATTTTCGTACTCAAGTAGGTACCCAATAAATACCTAATAAGTTTCGTCCTATTATCGATAGGGGAAAGTTGTCAAATCAACCCCTAAATTTAAAAAAATAAAAAAAATAGGAAAAAATTGTTATTTAAAAACTAATAACGAGACCATAAATTTTATTGCATAAAATGCATTCACTCGATGCCCAATGAATACAAAAAAATTTTGACTTGCAAGTCGATAGGGAAAAGTTGTCATTTTCAACCCTTAATATTTAAAAAATCGAAATCCTTTGACCAGCGATTTTTTTTTGTTTATTGTTTCTACATACTCCACTAATAATGAAAAATAATTTCAGAAAAATCGCCGCCCGGAAAACTTGATTTTTCTGCCCGTAAAAATTAAAAAATTGAAAAAAAAATAGAAAAAAATTTGTGAAAATTACAATTATCTGTTGACCAGGGATTTTCTTTTTGTTTATTGCTTCTACATACTCCACTAATAAGTAAAAATAATTTCAGAAAAATTGCCGCCCGGAAAACTTGATTTTTCTGCCCGTAAAAATTAAAAAATTGAAAAAAAATTAGAAAAAAATTTGTGAAAATTACAATTATCTGTTGACCAGGGATTTTCTTTTTGTTTATTGCTTCTACATACTCTACTAATAAGTAAAAATAATTTCAGAAAAATTGCCGCCCGGAAAACTTGATTTTTCTGCCCGTAAAAATTAAAAAATTGAAAAAAAATTAGAAAAAAATTTGTGAAAATTACAATTATCTTTTGACCAGGGATTTTCTTTTTGTTTATTGCTTCTACATACTCCACTAATAAGTAAAAATAATTTCAGAAAAATCTATTTTTCAATTATTATTGCTTACAACAATTTAAAAAAATTATTATATGTTTTATTAATTGCCTAGTGGTCTTCTTGGATTATCTTGAACTGATTTAAATCATGTGCAGTAACGGAATAAGAAATAAAAGTCCATTTTAAAAAATTGTATTAATTTGTTAACTTTCATTAAACTAAAAAATTATAAACAATTAAAATCTCAAAAATCAGTCTCAAGGGATGTCATAAGAATTTATTCCCCTTTAATTTAAATACAAGAACACTCAAATCGTTTAAAAATTGTAGGCTGAAGACATTTTTGAAAAGTAAATTGTAAAAAAATCCCACTGTGTGTAGGACCAAAATGTCATTTGGTAGTCCCTATTCGATTTTCGTTCGTTGTGCTAAACGTGGAAAGCAACGTAGCGAGTCTTTAAATCTCAAGGTAAGCCGAAAATTGCCGAACGCACCAGAGCTAGGACCCAACAGGCAAACACTCAAGTTCGCGGAGAGAACAGGCGACGTTGAGAGTTTGTGTTGGAGAATTACTTCGGGTGTATTCGGGTAATCTCGTCTTCCCGTAGGATTTAAAGTATCGCTGCATTGGCCGAGCACTGAACGAATGCCAAAAGAAGACACGATAAATAAAAATCTCCCCTTGAATTGCACAATCCGGACAAATGGCAACTGTGATTTTAACAATTTTTTTTCTTATTTTTTTGAGTTTTACTAATATTTACGGGCAAAAAGTAAAACTTTCCGGAAGGCAATTTTTTTAAAATTATGTACACATATTAGAGGAATATGTAGAAGTAATAACAAAGAAGAAAAAATCCCTGGTCAAAAAACAACTGTAATTTTTACATTTTTTTTTTAATTTTTTAATTTTTTCATTTTTACGGGCAAAAAATCAAAGTTTCCGGTCGACGAATTTTTTGAAATTTTGTTGATACATTAGGGAAATATGTAGAAGTAAGAAACAAGAAGAAAATCTCTCGTCAAAAGAAATTTGTAATTTTCACCATTTTTTTACCTATTTTTTCTTAATTTTTTTGTTTTTACGGGCAAAAAAGTCAAAGTTTCCGGGCGACAATTTTTTTGAAATTGTGTAGATACATTAGGGGAATGTGTAGAAGTAAGAAGAAGAAGAAAATCTCTGGTCAAAAGACATCTGTAATTTTTACAATTTTTTTCTTATTTTTTTTTGTTTTTATGGTCAAAAAAATCAAGTATTCCGGTCGGCGATTTTTCTGAAATAATTTTTATTTATCATTGGAGTATGTAGAAGCAAAAAACAAAAAGAAAATCCCTGGTCAAAAGATAATTGTAATTTTCACAAATTTTTTTCTAATTTTTTTCAATTTTTTAATTTTTACGGACAGAAAAATCAAGTTTTCCGGGCGGCAATTTCTCTGAAATTGTTTTTACTTATTAGTGGAGTATGTAGAAGCAATAAACAAAAAAAATCCCTGGTCGAAAGATAACTGTAATTTTAACAAATTTTTTTCTAATTTTTTTCAATTTTTTAATTTTTACGGACAGAAAAATCAAGTTTTCCGGGCGGCAATTTCTCTGAAATTGTTTTTACTTATTAGTGGAGTATGTAGAAGCAATAAACAAAAAGAAAATCCCTGGTCAAAAGATAATTGTAATTTTAACAAATTTTTTTCTAATTTTTTTCAATTTTTTAATTTTTACGGACAGAAAAATCAAGTTTTCCGGGCGGCAATTTCTCTAAAATTGTTTTTACTTATTAGTGGAGTATGTAGAAGCAATAAACAAAAAAAAATCCCTGGTCGAAAGATAACTGTAATTTTAACAAATTTTTTTCTAATTTTTTCTTCAATTTTTCGGGCAGAAAAATCAAGTTTTCCGGGCGGCGATTTTTCTGAAATTATTTTTGCTTATTAGTGGAGTATGTAGAAGCAATAAACAAAAAGAAAATCCCTGGTCAAAAGATAATTGTAATTTTAACAAATTTTTTTCTAATTTTTTTCAATTTTTTAATTTTTACGGACAGAAAAATCAAGTTTTCCGGGCGGCAATTTCTCTAAAATTATTTTTGCTTATTAGTGGAGTATGTAGAAGCAATAAACAAAAAGAAAATCCCTGGTCAAAAGATAATTGTAATTTTAACAAATTTTTTTCTAATTTTTTTTTAAATTTTTTAATTTTTACGGGCAGAAAAATCAAGTTTTCCGGGCGGCGATTTTTCTGAAATTATTTTTACTTATTAGTGGAGTATGTAGAAGCAATAAACAAAAAGAAAATCCCTGGTCAAAAGATAATTGTAATTTCCACAAATTTTTTTGTAATTTTTTTTCAATTTTTTAATTTTTACGCGCAGAAAAATCAAGTTTTCCGGGCGGCGATTTTTCTGAAATTATTTTTACTTATTAGTGGAGTATGTAGAAGCAATAAACAAAAAAAAAATCCCTGGTCAAAGGATAATTGTAATTTTCACAAATTTTTTTCTAACTTTTTTTTCAATTTTTTAATTTTTACGGGCAAAAAAGTCAAGTTTTCCGGGCGGCGATTTTTCTGAAATTATTTTTACTTATTAGTGGAGTATGTAGAAACAATAAACAAAAAGAAAATCGCTGGTCAAAGGATAACTGCAATTTTAATAAAGTTTTTTGTAATTTTTTTTCGATTTTTTAAATATTAAGGGTTGAAAATGACAACTTTCCCCTATCGACTTGCGGGTCAAAATTTTTTTGTATTGATTGGGCATCGAGTGAATGAATTTTATGCAATAAAATTTATGGTCTCGTTATTAGTTTTTAAATAACAATTTTTTCCTATTTTTTTTTATTTTTTTAAATTTAGGGGTTGATTTAACAACTTTCCCCTATCGATAATAGGACGAAACTTATTAGGTATTTATTGGGTACCTACTTGAGTAGGAAAATGCAAAAAAATTGATGGTCTGCTGAAAAAAAATTTTCGATTCTTGTCTGATTGTAAAGTAATTGAATTTAAATTTAAATACCTAAAACTTGAAATAATTATATTATTTTAAAATTAAAATTTTAAAAAATTGAATTTGTTAATTAATTTTGAAATAATATCATTATAAGTATTAAAGTGGTAATAATATAAAATATATGGGAAGAGTGAAACAGGCAAAAATGAATCTTAAAATGAGTGCGGGCAAAAACGGAATATATCTGTATCCCTTTCTTGCGCGCAGTGAAATCTTATCCCGCTTTTGCTCGCAGCCAAAAGTAATTCGTTTTTCCTCGTAGCGTAACATTTGTTTCTTTCTTCCGCGCTTACGAAAACTTGACTCACTTTTGCTTGCACTGTTATTTTATACCACTTTTACTTTGAGCCCCTCAGTTGTCTTTGCACTGAATTCAAACAAATATGATAATTCTCACTTTTTTGAGAATATGCGATACTCTGTAAAATGCCGCATATACATATATACATTCACTGGAGTATTCTTGTTTTATTGCTAACAAATAAAGTTTTACTTGATACATTACAACTAACTAAATCTAAATAACCTTTTATAAAAGTAAAAAGTGGATTTTTGAGCAATACCAGTTTGCAGTTTCATCTTTTATGATACAGTCTTCTTTTTACATAATATCTTTTTAATTTCTATCAATTACTGATTCAAGCAATTGGAACAATAAATTAGGATGTGATTCACTTAGAGCTTTTAAATCATTGTGTTGTATCAAAACTTTGCTACGATCAACAAAAAATGCTATACAGTAATTTTTTAAATCACTCAATTGATAGTCATCGGCGAGTTTTAAAACTTGAAACACATTATTTAATTTTTCTAAATTATTCTGTAAAAATTCTAAGTAAACTGTTTTCAAAGAATCGATTTGATAATAGTCAGCAACTTTAAAACATTCAATTGTTAGACTATTAAAGTTTTCAACTTTACCACTGTAAATATACTTTAAAATGTTTAAAAATGTTTCATACTCGAAATCGATTTTTACTTCGTTTGTAAGGTTTTCTTTACATTCGTGTTTAAACATTTTTGAAAATACAGGACTTGCAGCAGCCAAAATAACTTTATGAGCTCGAATTTTTTGCTCACCTAAATTAAGAGTTACGTCGCTTAAATGTTCATTGTTTATGAAAAATTTAAATCCCTCAAAATAGGGAATGTTTTCAGGAAAGTAAACTTTTGAAGAAATATCACACATTTGTTTGATTTTACAAATTATCGTAATTTTGTTTGCTTTTTTATGATTCATTAAACTTTCTAATTCTGATAATGAAATAAAATCTGAGAATTCATATTCATAATCGTCAATGTTATCGATTGAAAAATTTGCTCGTCGAGTAAGTACTTTTACAGAATCGCTGTTCATGATAGAACATTTCATATTAATTTGAGAATTTTTTTTTAAATTGTTGCTTATTTTTAGAAATGCTAAATATAATGAGACATGAAAACTTTTTTCAATCTCCAGTTTTAATATTGTCTCGCTATCGTTTGTCAGCGTAAACGTTGGTGAACAAATGGACTCTCTGAAATTTTTAATTTCCCACGTGTAGATGGTATTTATTGTGTCTTTACTCATTTTTAGTTGTGAGCTTCAGTTGGTAGTTCAAATAAAACACCTAAAACAGAAGAAAGAAAGAAAAAAGTCAACATACTTACAGTTTTATAAAACACTTATGACTTATCAATATTATACGTATCACATAAATTTGAAAACTGGCAACTATATATTAGGAACTATATTTTGCTATTGAAATTTGGGATTGTCACTTTTTTTTGGTAATTGTAACTATGTACTTATGAAAGATTTAACGTTTATAACAAAGTTCTGTGCTCCCTGTGCAATCACACAGACTAAATTCTAAAACTAAAAAATAATTTAATAAATGACAATCAAATTTAAATTTTAAACTTTATATATATTATATACTTAACCCTTTGAGTCACGCATTTTTCTTTTTACTGAATTTGCTTGAAAATCGTTATTTAGAGGTTTTTGGAGTCGCTGAATACGAATCTGGGGTCAGTTTTTAAAAATTCAAAATGGTGGATCCAATATGGCGGATAAGCATTGAAAAATCTCTTACCCACTAATGTAGTTGATCCTTATTCTAGAACAAGAATTCTTCTCTCCTATTTGAATCAATGTAGGACAAGTTAAGCACTGAATTTATAATATTAAATTTTACGTAAAGTTTCGATTTTTCAAAATTTATTCAATAAACTAGAAAAATTTTAAATTTTAAATTTTAAATTTTACTACTTTGAAGATTCAATATGACTGATTTAAATCTTGTTACAACTCTAACGAAGTGATAACTAAGTTTTGAATCGGTAATTTATTAATTACACTTAATATTTGTTAATCTTTTGCAAAGTAAAATATCTCCTTTATCTATACTATTGTTCGGCTCAGCACAAACTACGTTTCCAAATATTTGAAAAATATATATCTTCATAATTATATGTTTATGAATTGTTTACTTATAAGATAAGTCAGTGACCCTGTTTTCTTTATAGTATGAATCAAAGTTTCTAAGAAATTATTAATAATAAAATAATTAATATTGTTTCATTTCCATTTTAATATTACCAGGGTAAAAAACTTTTAATAAAATAAATTTATCAAAATTAATTAGCAATAAACGTTGAACTCATAAGAGGACATCCAAAAATAATCTTAACTTTGTAGAAAAAATGACTGTGTGATAAAAACTTTTTGATGATAATAAAGTCTATATGAGGTGAATGCCCTAGTTACACTACAAGAATAGGTAATTTATTTGTTCTCTTATGTGTAAGATAAAAAAAACGATTCCATCTTAGAAAATAATGTTTTGTCAAATATCTTACTAATATGTCTTAATGAATATTGACGCTTATAATATTTAACAAAGGGGAGGAGAAGAAAGAACGAGTGGTACTGATATAAAATATATTTATTGTAGAAACATGTATAGATAATGAAAGCCCTTATTGTTTTTGTCGATTTTATAATTAAAAATTAAAATTGTAATTTACAATATACATAAAATGTGGTAAATATATAATATATTTTGTTTTATATTATCATTTAAACACGTACAGACAATATTCAACACAAATGATGTTATCTTCTTCGTGTGTAAACATTCGAGAAACGTGGACAACATAATAATAAACTTTTTTTGCTACGAGAGTCCAGCATTTTAAATATATAACTTTTTACTTCTTCCGGAACTCCAAGAAGACTTGGACTTGGAAGTCCGAATGCAGTAAGGAGTTCCACTCGTAACGGTGTCAGTATTTCATTTTTTAATCTATAAAGAATTTTCTGATTAGGGACATTCTTTGTCAAAAAAGCCAGTCTTGTTGACCATCACATGATCATTGATGTTGAAAATTTGTTTCTAAAAACGAAAAATGTAGCTTAAAACCCCTAATTTTATTTGGAACTTTCTACAGCTGTCTAATAGAGTCGAGACAGAAAGTCTTTTATTTTTCCAACAATAATTCTGTGATGGACAGCAGGAGTGGCTTTTTTGACAAAGAGTTGCCCATTAATATTCATGCGACTGAATAAACAACTTTTCATTTAAATATAATTTCAGTTACTGCAAAGTTAAAATGAATAATTTTGAGAAGTATTAAATTTCTTTTATACTTCACAGCAAATAATTTATTTAAAAAATTATTCGCTTCTTATATCTTTTAAAATAAAACTTCACCTATAAGAAAACTCCTTTAAATTCCAAAATTTTCCGCCGATTTCACTGGAATGAGGATTAATATATTTTAAAGTTTGAAGAACTATACAATAGAGGGACCGAGAGGAAAAGTTAAGTACTATTTTATCCCCTACGGGAATTGCTACTAATTTACATGTAAAGTCCCCTCCAATATTATATCTAAATGCGATTCGATATATTCCATCAGTTTTCCAATTTTCGGGAATCCGAAGAGATTTAATAGAACACCTAAAAACAATGATATAACAATATTAGCTATAGTTGGAAAATGAATAATAAATATTTCGTAATTTTTAAATTAAAAAGGAATTTGTAATTAAAAGAATATTTTAGAAGCATAGTGTGATAAACTTTAGTTTTTCGAATTTAATCATTAAAATTTATATTTGAATCTACATATATAAATAAAATCAGACTTCCATCATTGTTCTGCTTATAGAAACTAGAAAATTTGTTATTCATAAATCTTTATAAGTAGAAAAAATTCCAAATATGCCATAAATAAAAATTCTTTCAACTTCTTTCCATACAAAAATCAATTACACAATGGAACAATTTTAGAAAAATTTTTTGGGTTAAGACTTGACTATAATGGGATGAAAGTACTCACCGAGCAGAGTAAAACATCTGATGGGTTTTCAAAAATTAGCAACCGTTTGATTTTTATTGTAATTTTAAGTTTTGATAATTCAGTAATTTATTGAATAATGGCTCTATAATCAGCTTTGGTCAGTAAATCGTGCATTTTTGACAAATATTTCTCATTGTAACGAGAGTTTACAGTTCGTTGTATCAAGCACTCGTTATATCAAGATTCAAGTGTAGTTAGTTAGTAAGTAAGTTAATTAGTAACTAACAGTTAGTTATAGTAACTAAGTTAGTTAGTTAGTCAGTAAGTTAATTAGTAACTAACAGTTAGTTAGTAACTGTGTTACTAAGTTAGTTAGTTAGTTAGGAAGTTAGTTAGTAAGTTTAATTAGTAACGTTAGTAACTAACAGTTAGTTGGTAACTGTGTTACTAAGTTAGTTAGTTAGTTCGGAAGTTAGTTAGTAAGTTAATTAGTAACTAACAGTTAGTAAGTGTGTTACTATGTTAGTTAGTAAGTGTGTTACTATGTTAGTTAGTTAGTTAGGAAATTAATTAGTAAGTTAGTAACTAAGTTAGTTAGTTATTTAGTAAGTTAGTTACTCTGTAACATAAAAATTTTATATTTAAAAAATTATTCTAAACTTTTTTTAAAAAAAATAATTGACAATGATAAAGTTTTATCCTAAAAACTTTCGGTTAAATTCACGTGGCACATAATGAAAACAATAACATTTTGCTTTTAAGCATTTATGAATTTCATAAATTTTAAAGCAGTTTTAACTTTTAAGCAATGTAAAGACAAACATTAAAATGTATTGGTAGGTACTAAAATCATTGAACCAGTAATTACCTATACAAATACTTAAATAATTTTATTCATATTTAGAAAATTGAAAGCTTTTCTATTATAAAAATTATAAAATACAGAAAAACATAAATGCAAGACTAGAAAAAATAATTAAAATAATTTTTTTAAAAATGTATATTTAAAATAATATATTTACATACCTTTCTTGTTCGTTATTAGGAGGAATGAAAAATCCTGTTTCTGCCAAAACAACAATAACAGCAGTAATTAAATAATCATTTTGTGTCGCATTATTAGGTAGCGATTTTACTAAATTTTCTAAAATTGGAGCCAGTTGAACGAGAGAACTTTCTTCCACTAAATAAGGAGCATTCATTTTAAGTGTTGACTATTGTAATCACACGGACGATGAATAAAAAAAAACATTCCGGTTTTATTTGACAGTTGAGCCTATACCTATACAAAAAGGACAAAAAGTTTTCTGCTAGTAATCATTTTCACGGCTTCACGTTTACTTCTCTCATTGTAAATTGCGCATGAGCAGAACTCTGCGTGTTGGTTGTAAATTGTAAACACATTTCTTTAGTACATCGGGTACATAGCAAAATTCATATTTTTCTACATTTTCATTCAGAAAACAGTAAAAATTGATTTTTAAAAACTGAAGATATGTTTCGAAGAAGATTAAAAGCTTTAGATTTCGAAGATTGGGAAAAGTTTAATGGAAACGGTGAGTCATTTTCTTGAAAATCCGGTTTTGAGGTTAGGTATTGTAAATCTTATTTATATTAAAGAAAATAAATATAACAAAATTGTAGTTAATTTTTTAAGAAAAGACCTTAAAAAACCTTTCATTGCAGTCGAAAAAAATTTAATGTTAGAGTCAGTCCATTATATTTCGACTTATGTCATTGTCGACTAATTTTTTTACAGGAACTTATTTTTGCGATTTTTAGTAATTAATTATAAAAACTATTAAACAAAAATAAAAACTTATGAAATATAAAGTTCTTGTGATAGACTTTCACAATTTCTTCGCACTTTTTTCTCTCTAATTCACAATTGTTAAAAATTTATAAAAGGAAAGTTTCAGATTGATACATTATGTTCATTCTCGTGATTTTTTAATGTTAATAACTTTTTTTGGAAAAAATAAAATGGAGACTAAAAATTTCAATTTTCAATGAATTTAATTAGAAATTTTAAAGAACTTAGATTTTTGAAAAGTTTTAATAATTCAAATTCTTCAATAATTAATTAAATTTTTAATATATATATTTAATTAATTATTGAAAATAATGAATTTATAGAAAAATTTTAGTTAAAAACAATAAAAAATTAAACTTTGCAGAAGTTATAAATGATTGCAGAAATTCAATTATTTTCAATTAAAGTAATAAAATTCTTCGCAGAAATTCAATTAGTTTTAAAAAATTCTTATCAAAATTTTAAATATTTTTATAATTGTAACAAAATTCTTCTCCGAAATTCAATTATTTTCAAAAATTTTCCTCAATTCAATGATTTTCAATATTTACTATTTTAATAAAATTTTTCAAAAGAATTCAATTATTTGAAAATAATTTTGATCAAATTCTATCCAAACATTTAATTATTTTCATAAATAATCAAAATTTCACAGGAATTTAATTATTTACACATTTTTTTAAAATTTCTTCGCAATAATTCAATTATAATTTCATAAATAATAAAACTCATCACATAGAATTTCAATTAATTTTAATACAATTTTAATCGAAATCGAATTATAATTTCATAAATAATAAAACTCATCGCATAGAATTTCAATTATTTTTAATACAATTTTAATCGAATTCCTCGAAAAATGTAATTATTATTCTTAAAAATTTAATTAAAATTCGTCGAAAGAATTCAATTATGTATTTAAAAATATTTTGATGAAATTCTTTATGAGAATTCAATTTTAAGAATTAATCAATTATTCAAAAAATTATTTATTCTTATTTTTAAATAATTGACTTCTCATCGAATATTCTAATAAAAATTGATTTAAAAATGAATTTTTAGTTAAAATTTTAGATAATAACACGGTGCTACAAAAATTTTTTTTTGTCATATACTTTTGTTCTCATGTATAGGAACTTGTAAAGGAGGTTGAACTATTAATTTTAGTATGTTTGAAATTTCAAATATACCCCCGAAATTTAAAGTTATAGTTCAAAAACCAAAATTTTATCAATTTGTGTATAAAAATAGTTGTATATTGGTTATTTTTCAATCGATTTGGGTGATTCAGGGCTTATTGGAAAGCTAAAAGTTGTCGTTTTTCAAAACTTCAAGGTTAATAAAGTTTCGTTGAAAAATGTGAAAGCTGTGAGCCAAAACATACGAATAAAAACTCAAAAAATTCAATTATGGTGACTTTGGCTTAAAAATACACCCTAAATTTAAAGTGAACCCACATTATATCATATACTAGCTGTCGTACCCGTCTTCGACGGGTTGTAGTTTCTGATAATGCACTTAACAGTGTATCTACCAACCTAGGAAACCGGAAAATAGCCGGGAATTTGATTTGACAGGGAAAAAATAATAATTAGTTACTATTGTCTATTTCATTAGGAAAATAATACCATTTGAAACAGTGACCGACTTTTTATTATCAAATTAGTTATTTTTAACTAATTCAAATGCAGAAAACAATATTTCTCAATTTGTAGTACTTCAATCAATATAATGTATTAAAATAAATCTAAAATTTCCTCCAGTTTTTTGAGTTATAGTACAGTCTAATTCGAACTAATTGTATAGCAAGTAGATCCAGTTTTTCTCGGTTACATTAAATTCCCTGATATTTTACGTCTTTTCTGGTTGGTAAACACCCTGTTAAATGTATTATTAAAAAAAACCCGTCCAGTAAACCAGGAAAAATTTGGACAAAGCCGGAAATTGTTTTAAACCAAAATAAACACCGTGTTTAACTTTTGTCTTTACATTGATCAAGATATCTCTAAAAGTTAAATCAGAGAGCCCACAAATACTACTGAATGAAGCTTCATAGCAATTGGTATCAATTATAATTTTTTCAATTTTTTGATATTCAAAACATTTTTATACTTACATCTTCGTTATAAGAAAGTATTTTTGAAAAATTATGCTAAAATGTGACTAAATAACATGTAATACTCAACTATAGAAAGTTTAGAAGCAATCCATGAAAAAATATAAAATTTAGAAATGATTTGTGTTAAATAAATTTATTTATTAGAGTCAAGTATTTATTTAATTAATCCAATTAAGATTTATTTGATTCAACTAAATAAAATTATTTAAACGAAATAAATTCTTATTAGATCGAAATAAAAACTTTTTAAATAAGATATTATTTTTCAAATAATTATAATTACTTGAATCATATAACTTTTTTTAGTGTAGCTATAGTAAACTAAAAGTTATTAATGTGAACGAACATTATCTATATTAATAAAATCAGATTACTATCTGTACATTGCTCCAAACTTTAAAATTTTTATATATTTTTTCGTTTTGAGACATTAGAATTCTAAAAATGTAAAAAAAATTTCTGTCTGTCTGTCTCTGTCTGTATGCAAAACTTTGTTCGCGCATCAATTGAAAACGGTTCAACCAATTAAAGTGAAATTTGGCAGTCTATTAGGTATTAAAGTAACTTACAATCATAGCCTTATCCGATTAAAAAATATTAACTTGAACAAAAGTTATGACATTTTTCCAAAAAATTCAAAAAAACAAAAAAATGCAAATTTTTTATCTTTTGTAAAATGAATGAAAAAACTATCCTTAGCTAACTTTTTCAGATAAATACAACCCATTTCTACGATAAAATTTTTAAAAAAGATGTATTTTGAAATTTTTTTTCGTTTTTTTAGATCAACTTTTTTCTAAGAAAATAGTGATTTTTAATCTTTAAGCAAGCTTTTCAGGAAAAGTTATTAAAGTTTTTTATTTAAAGATCAGTATGTAAAGTAAGAAATTTGCTACATTAAACAAAAATAATTAGCTAAATGCCATAAAAAAGAAGGAAAAATGTTGAATTTTAAGAAATTCGGTTTTTTGAATTTTTGCTAATTTTCCATAATTTTAGATTTTTTACCGAAGGGTGGAGACTATTGAATAAGTAAAGTATTTTTTAAGAGCACAAAAATAATAAAGCTAAATGCTATAAAAAAGAAGGAAAAATGTTGAATTTTAAGAAATTCATTTTTTTGCATTTTTGCTATTTTTCCATAATTTTAGATTTTTTACCAAAGGGTGGAGACTATTGAATAAGTAAAGTATTTTTTAAGAGCACAAAAATAATAAAGCTAAATGCCATAAAAAGAAGGAAAAATGTTTAATTTTAAGAAATTCATTTTTTTGCATTTTTGCTATTTTTCCATAATTTTAGATTTTTTACCAAAGGGTGGAGATAACAAATTAGATAAAGTATTTTTGAAGAGCCCAAAAATAATGAAGCCAAAAGCCATAAAAGAGAAGAAAAAATGTTGAATTTTAATAAATTCGGTTTTATGAATTTTTGCTAATTTTCCATAATTTTAGATTTTTTACCAAAGGGTGGAGACTATTAAATATAAGTAAAGTATTTTTGAAGAGTACAAAAATAATGAAGCTTAATGATATAAAAGAGAAGAAAAAAATGTTAAATTTTAAGAAATTCGGTTTCTCGAATTTTTGATAATTTTTGATTTTTTGCTAAAGGGTGGAGACTATTCAAATAGTATAATTATACTACCGAAATAGCTAATGGTAACTAATTATTAATTAATTAATTATTAACTAATTATTAATTATTATTAATTAACTAATTATTAATTATTAATTATTAATTATTAATTAATTTATCCCGGGTATTTTTGATTTTCCGCAGATTGGTAGAAACATTGTTAAATGTATTGGTAGAAACTAAAACCCGTCGAAGACGGGTACGACATGACAGCTAGTGCTATATATTTTCAAAATTTTTAAAATTCAAAATTTATCTTTTGAAATAATTATTGTCATTAATTTTACTTAAATTTTATACAGGGTTAATTTTAGTATTTTTTATTACAATTTAGTCATCAGAATGAAATTTGAGTTTTTCATTTTTTGATCATTAATTAATAAAATATAATAGCAATTTTGAATTCTGTGCAACATACTGACAAAAGTCTCATATTAATTATATGGATATTGTTAATATTCTGACCTAATAGAATTCTTTTAAGAAAGTAAACTTATGATCTCAACAACAAATTTTTATTGTTGACCTAAGAAATACAACCGTATAAAAATTAATTACAAAAAAATTTCAATTTTTAAACTTTTTAATTTTTCAATATTTAAATCTAACACTTTTTATTTGTTATTCAAAATTTTATTATTCTGACGATTAAATCTTCATAAAAAACACTAAAATTAACCCTGTACCAAGTTTAAGTACAATTCACTAAAGTATATGAAAAAACTAAAAATTTCGAATTTTCGAATTTTTGAAAAAATGGCATAACTTTCGTCCATATTAATATTTTTTAATCTACTATCGCTAGGATTTTAAGTTAGGCTAATGCCTAAAAGACTGCCAAGTTTCACTTCAAACGATCGAACCGTTTTTCCGTGATACGCGGTCGAAAATTTGCGGACATACATACACACATACACACATACACACATACACACATATACACATACACACATAATTTTCTTAATAGTATTTTCGCATTCCTTAGAGTGTAAAAAGAAGGAATATAATAGAAATTTTGAATTCTATGCAATGTACAGACAAAAGTCTGATTTTATTAATAAGGATTGCAAGAAACTACATGTATTTCCCTTCAAAATGAGCTATAGATGGACTCGATTGGATAAAAATTCTCCAAATTATGAAGGTTTTAGTAATTTTTGTCATTGTTGGTATTTTTATAAATATAACAGATTTCACTTCTACAAGTTAAAAAGCATTTTATTTTTAAATAATTCAACATTTTTATTAAATTCATTAAAGAATTTAAGATTTTAGTTTGAAAAATTTATATTATTAAACATTAGTTTTAAAATCTAGTTTCAATAATTTTTTGGATAACGCAAATGAGATTTTAAAGTCTGGTGCAGTTTTATGTATTAAATAGCTTGGAATACTTATGTACATACTATGAATAACAAAATTGTGAGGATTAAAATATTTATTTTATGTTAAACTACTGCTTTATTTTCTTGCCTAATTTAATACCTACAACCAATTTTAGCAAGTTTTTTTATTGTTAAACGTTCTATTTCTCTGATGTATGTTTAGAGTGTACTTTTGATTCACCATAGTAACAAATAAATGACGGTTGAAGTTGTCTACCTAAGTGACAGTTCGGGAGTGAGAAATTGAAAGATAGTTAACGTTTATTTGTAAATAAAATAATAAAATGTGCGACAAGCGGAATAAATTTTGTTATGTCTGTGGTTTATTTGTTGACATAAATCATCAAATAAGATTCGACACAAATAAATCAGTTATTGAAGCATACAATAAATTTTTTAATCGTAAGTATACTACAAGTGAATGGTATGAACCAGAATTCGTGTGCTCCGTTTGTGCAATGATTCTAAAAGGATGGAAAAGTGGAAAGGGAAGAACACATTTTCAGTTTTCATTACCAATGACTTGGAAGCCTGTACCACTGCATATTAAACGATTATGTTTTTTCTGTCAGACTAATATTACAGGTTATCGTTTTCAAACGCGAAAACTTATTAAATATGCTGACGTTCCGACAGTAACAAAACCGATATTCCATGAAAATGTTCCGCCAATAAAGGCGTCAATTATACTTGAAAATACTGATGTAGATATTGCCCTAAATAAACTTCGAATTTCAACATCATCAGAGTCATCAGCTGCATCTATGTCAGATCAAGACACGAGCTTTGAAGCACCATCAACTTCTAAAAAGCCTCAATTAATTTCAAATGAACGATACATGGATATGATTAGAGAATTGCGTATTACTTGGAGACAAACTGAACTTCTTGGTTCTCGTTTGAAAGAATTTAATTTGGTTGCACCAGATTTCAGGATAACTTTTGCTAGAGACCACAAATATAGAAATGCATTTGAGGAAGTTTTTAAAGAGGACATTATATACAAAGACCTCGTATATTGTTCAAATATCGTAGAATTATTTGCTGCTTTTGAATGCGAGTATAATCCAAAAGATTGGCGTTTGTTCATAGACGGCTCCAATAAAAGTTTGTATTATATTTTTTAGTTAAAATAAATTTAAAACAGTCATTATCACAGAATGTTCCAAATTTTATGGTTAAAGTAACTTCAAGTTTTTGTATCAAAATAGACCAATTTAAAAAACTAACCGGTGAATCTTTAAAATAAATTTTTTAAATTATAAAATAATACGGCTCTTTGCGACATAATATGATGGCACTTATTTATAAATATTAATTTCTTTTTTTACATTTAGGTTTAAAAGCTGTGCTCTTACATAATGAGAATAAGTTGCCTTCGATTCCCGTAGCATATGCGACGAACTTGAAAGAAAAATATGACATTTTGAAACACATTCTTCATCTTATTGATTACACTACCCATCAGTGGAAAATTGTGGCCGATTTGAAAGTTCTAACTATTCTATTTGGGATGCAAGGTGGTTACACCAAACATCCGTGTTACCTATGCGAATGGGACAATCGGGCAAAAATTGATCAATATGCACGTAAAGAATGGCCACGGCGAAGTGCATTTCAGATTGGTAAAAAGAATGTTATAAATATTCCATTAGTGAGCCCAGAAAATGTTATTCTGCCACCACTGCATCTTAAACTCGGTTACATAAAACAGTTTGTAAAAAGGTTAGACCCGAACAGCGAAGCATTTAAATACTTGAAAGCAATATTTCCAGGTCTGAGCGAAGCTAAAATAAGAGAAGGTTATTACAACTGTTATTACTAAATTTTATCATCTGTTTAAATAATTGTGCGGCCTCTTTGAAGAACACTTTTACTCGAATTTAGAATTCAATTAATATATACTGCATGAGCTTTGTTATTAAATATTTCAGGAATTTTCATTGGTCCACAAATTAGAACTCTCATGAAAAGCCAAGAATTTAGGAGTAAATTAACGCCAATTGAAAGAAGAGCATGGGACAGTTTTGTCGATTTGTGTCAAAACTTTTTAGGCAATCATCGAAGCAAAAACTATGTCAGCATTATAAAAGAATTTTTGACTTCCTACAGCAAAATGGGATGCAATATGTCCATTAAAGTTCATTTTTTGAACTCGCATCAGGATTTCTTTCCCGAAAATTTGGGCCAATTTTCTGATGAACAGGGTGAACATTTCCATCAGGAGATTTTAGCTATGGAAAATCGGTTTCTTGGAAAAAATAAAATAAGCATGCTTTCTAACTACTGTTGGTCGTTAAAAAGAGAGACCGATCCAGCTTCATACAAACGCAAACAAAAAGTTAAAACGTTTTAATTTTTTTGTTTAAATTCGGAGTTATCCCTCTTGTTATTGCTAAAGTTTAACAAGCTGGTCGATTGATTCTAATTTCTTGTCTTAATGTTTTAATTTTAATTTTAATTTACAATTTATATATTTCTTTTATAAAAATGTTAAATTATTTAAAAACAAAATGCTTTTTAACTTGTAGAAGTGAAATCTGTTATATTTATAAAAATACCAACAATGACAAAAATTACTAAAACCTTCATAATTTGGAGAATTTTTATCCAATCGAGTCCATTTACAGCTCATTTTGAAGGGAAATACATGTAGTTTCTTGCAATATATGATATAATGTGGGTTCACTTTAAATTTAGGGTGTATTTTTAAGCCAAAGTCACCATAATTGAATTTTTTGAGTTTTTGTTCGTATGTTTTGGCTCACAGCTTCCACATTTTTCAATGAAACTTTATTAACTTTGAAGTTTTGAAAAACGACAACTTTTAGCTTTCCAATAAGCCCTGAATCACCCAAATCGATTGAAAAATAACCAATATACAACTATTTTTATACACAAATTGATGAAATTTTGGTTTTTGAACTATAACTTTAAATTTCGGGGGTGTATTTGAAATTTCAAACATACTAAAATTAATAGTTCAACCTCCTCTACAAGTTCCTATACATGAGATCAAAAGTATATGACAAAAAAAATTTTTTGTAGCACCGTGTAATTGAATATTACTACATTCCTAATATAAATTTTAACACATTTTAATTTGTTGTTTGGTACATTTTTTGTCCCCCTTTTCAGGATTCATTTTAATGTGCATGGTTTCAAACTTTGTCAAAAATCATTTTAAAATTTAATTTTTTCAAAAATTAAAATTAGTGATTCAGAAAATTATGATCATGTATGTTCATAACTTTTATTAACCATAAAGCATTAAAAAAGAAATTAAAATTCATTTAGATCCAAATGAACTTCGACATCTTGTTTTGTGGCTTGAAGATCAAAAAATTCGCTATCACAAACCCGAAGGACGAACAGCTTTACGACAAATCGAATCGAATAATTGGCCAAATGCATTTGATCAATATTGCAAAGAAGTTGGATGTCCACCGACAACTTCTTTGTTAGATAAAGTTGAGTGGCTTGTAGGTCAAGCAATTCGTTACGAATACGAGGATAATCGTAAGTTTTTTCTCACTCTAAATCGTAAATAAAATTTTAAAAAAATTAATTCTTCAATGTTCCTTTTTTCAGAAAAAGTCTGTCAAGATATTTTGAGTAACAAATTAAACAAAAAAACCGAAATCATTGCTCCTACAGTGAAATCAACAAATCCACTCGACAGTTTAGATTGTAAGTTATTACACAAAATGAAACAAAAATTTATAAATTATTAAATTCTATTTCATTTTATCTATAAATGAATGTTTCAAATTTTTCATTTTTGGGAAATATTTTAAAAATATTTTTCCTTTTATTTCCAGTTGACAGTAAAGAATTCAAGGAAGGTGTGACCGCTTTAGCGAAACTTTTGGACATTCAAGAACATCCGGATCATTTGGTAACATTAGAGGCATGCAGTAAACTAGTTTGTAAAAAGTTAAGTCCATCTGTTGTAAAAAATCCAAGTGCCTTCATACCCGAGGGTAAACCATTTCCAATTTTAGAATATAAAGTTGGACCCGACATGAAGGATCCGGTTTTAAATAAAGCATCGAGAATTCTTCAACTCCTCTACATTCAAGATCTCCGCGATTTACAAACGAAAATCAACGAATCCATTGTCAGTGTTCAATCGATCACTGCGAATCCAAAAACCGATACGAAATTGGGAAAAGTTGGATTTTAAAATATTAGCTTTACAATAATTTAATTTATAATTTATCAAAAATTGAATCATTTTATATGAAATTTAAAAATAAACATAAATATTGTACGATTTTTTATGTGTATACATAATTAAAAGCCTTGGGGTACCTAATCAGGCAAAAATGAAAAATACGGACCAATTACTGACAAAAATATAACTAGTCCGAGTCAAATAAGAGAACATTTTACTTAAAACTATAAATTAAATTTTTCATAATCATAATAACTATAAAACATGAAGATGTCGATCTTCATGCTTTATAATAATTAAAGATGGCAAATCGATAAAATCATTATTTAATATTATAAGAATATTGTACTTCTTAAAAATTATTTTCATCATTTCAATTCAATTATTATTTGAGCAATTCCATGGTAAGTGATCATAGAAATTTCCTTCTAGTAAGGGATTTCAATGAAAATGTGTTTAATTGTTCCCTTGAATGTAACTAAAAAAGTAGTGAAGGTTTTTTGGAAAAATATTCAACCACAACTTTTTTCCAGCAAAAGATATTAAGGTCCACTTTTTTTTAAATTGTTAATAAAAAAGAACACTTTACGTTGAAAAATTTTTGAGAAAATTTTTATTCAATATTGATATTAAAAAAAAAAAATTTTATTTTCGATTTTTGAAAAAACTTCATTTTTTTTTGGTTAATTTTTTTTTGTGGTAATAGTATATACTCACCTCTAAGTCCTGTGTGAATTTCAAAATGGGATCTGCATAACTTTCTGAGAAAAAAATAAAAATGTATTGTCGTAGGGCTTGAAATTTGCGCTATAGGTAGCAGTAACCAAATAGGTTAAATTTTTTGACAGGAAAGTTAATAAATCAGAAACGTTTATTTATCCATGATTGTAAATGGCTCTGAACAATTAACAGCACTTGAAAACATTTTTGTTACAATTTTTTCATTATTCAACGAAAATCAAACGTATTACAATTCAAAAATGAGAAAAGAAACTGTGAAACAATATCTTGCAAGTAACACCAAAATAATGACAAGAATTCACAAACGTTATGAAGTAATCTCAATTACAAGAATTTGCCGCAAGCTCTCGGAATTGAGCCATATTCGCATGATATAAAGTAAAAACTGTAATCCATAGCATTCTACATTTTTATTTTTTTCTCAGAAAGTTATGCAGATCCCATTTTGAAATTCACACAGGACTTTGAAGTGAGTATATACTATTACCACAAAAAAATGAACCAAAAAAAATTGAGTTTTTTCAAAAATCGAAAATAAAATTTTTTTTTTTTAATATCAACCAAGTATTGAATAAAAATTTTCTCAAAAATTTTTTAACGTAAAGTGTTCTTTTTTATTAAAAATTTTAAAAAAAGTGGACCTTAATATCTTTTGCTGGAAAAAAGTTATGCGGTTTTAAAAAAAAATGTTAAAAAATTACAAAGTTGCATACCTACTATGTTTGTGAATATTTTTCCAAAAAACCTTCACTACTTTTCTAGTTACATCCAAGGGAACAATTAAACACATTTTCATTGAAATCCCTTACTAGAAAGAAATTTCTATGATCACTTACCATGGAATTGCTCATTTTCACGAATTTTAAATTAAAATTCTTCTTTAAATCAATTAATTTTCGAAAAAGTTCACTGAAAATTTTCAAATTCACGAAAATTCAATTTCACGACATTTTTATTATTCGAAATTTCTTTAATTAAATATTTAGAAAATAAAAACTTCAAATAATATAAAAAAAAATTCAATTCAAATTTTATCAAAAATACTATAAAAATATTCCATTTCTAGAATTTATAAAAAAATTATGAATTTTGTTGTCCCACCTAACAGACTTAAAAAAAGAAAATATTAAATTTTTATTTTAAATTCTTTCTATTTCTAACAGTAATTAAACAAAATAGAATTTTAATTAAATTCGTCGAAAAAATTTAAAAGAGAAAAATTTCACATCCTATAAAATAGTGAAAAATAAATCAATTTAAAAATTTTGTTTGCAATAATATTATAACAAAACAAATTTGAATTAGTAAAAATATGAACTAATTAGAACAAAAGTAATACGAAATTTATAAAAATTAATTTTTAAATAAAAAATAAATATAATTTCTTTTCTTAGAAAATAAATTTTTAAAAAACTGTATTTTGCATTAATATCAATTCGTTTTTTTACAAATATTCATAAGCAACTATTTCTATATTTAAAAATTTTAAATTAATATTCCTAATATTAATATAGATTGAATTTTAAAAAGTTTCCAATTGAAGTTTTAGAAAAGTTGAATTGTAAAATATTTTAATTAAAAATTCTGAATAAGTTAGTTTTTTGAAACATTTTCATTCACATTTTTTTTCAACTTAGTTATATAATATTTAATTGAAACACTTTCAAATTATTCAAAATTTCATGAAATTGTCTTGTAAACAAGTGGATTTTAGAAATATTTTAGTTAAAATTTCTAGAAAATAATTGAATTAAAATTTTGAAAATAATTTTTAATAACTTACAGTAGCAATTTATCAACAAATTTTTAAATAATTGAATTCTTTTTACGATTTATTATAAAATTTTTAAGAATAATTACATTTTTCGAGAGAAATTCGATTAAAATTGTTTTAAAAATAATTGAAATTCTGCGATGAGTTTTATGATTTATGAAAATAATTGAATCCCTCTGTAAGAAGAATTTTATTATTTTTGAGCATAATTAAATTTCTGCAATAATTTGTAACTTCTCCAAAATTCAATATTTTAGTGTTTTTAACAAAAATTTTTCTATAAATCCATTATTTTTAATAATTTTTGAAAAAGTATTTTGAAAATTTTGAAATTTATTTGTTTTTAACTGAAATTTATTTTTAAATTAAATTTTATTAGAAAATTCAGAATTCTACTAGAATTCAATTATTTCAATACAAAATAATAAATAATTTACTGAATAATTAAATGTTTCTTAAAATTCAATTTTTATTAATAATTTTATCAACAAATTTTTAAATAATTGAATTTTTTTGACAAATTTTAATAAAATTTTGAAGAAGAATTTCATTTTTTGAGGAATTCGATTAAAATTTGATTAAAAATAATTGAAATTCTGCAATGAGTTTTATTATTTATAAAAATAATTGAGTTCCTAAAAAGAATTTTATAATGTATGTAGGTACAAAAATAATTGAATGCCTGAAAAAATTTTACTATTACATATATGAAAATAATTGAATTATTGCGAAGAAATTTATAAAAAATTTATAAATAATTGAATTTCTATGAAATTTTTATTATTTTATAAAAATAGTTAAAGGTTGGCGTAAAATTTTATTAAATTTTTTTTAAATAAATGAATTCTTTTGGAAAATTTTCTAAAATAGTAGATATTGAAAATCATTGAATTGAAGAAAATTTTTGAAAATAGTTGAAATTTTACCAAGAATTTTATTGAATTTTGAAATATACAATTAAAAAGATTTTGATTAATTGAAATTTTGTAAAATTTAATTGAAAATAAATCATTTTTTCAAATATTTTATTACAATTTTAAAAATTAACTTTTAAAGAATTTTAATTGAAAATTTTGAAATTAATTGACTTTTCAAAAATTTTAATGAATAATCTTTAAGTGTAAATTCAATAAAAATGAAAATTAATGAAAATTAGGTTCTAAAAATAGTTTTGAAAAAAGTAATTCTCTGAATTATTTTGTTCTAATTTTTTAAAATTCAATTAGGTTGTATTTTCAATATTTTCGATATTCAATATTTTCACAATATTTCCGAAAATTCAAATACATACACAAAATAATAACATTAGAATTTTACAGAATTATTTTTAATACTTTGGTCGAGAAAATAATCATATATTCAAAATTTTTAATTAAAATTCTTGAAAAAATTATTTTTTGTTTAAATTCTTTAATTATTTTCAAAAAATTAAATTACAATATTTATAAAAAACTAATTCTTAGAATTGTTTTATCATAATTTTTTAAAATTCAATTACCTTCGAACAAAGTAAATTAAAATTTTTAAAAAGTTACTATTTCAGAATTTTTGAGAAATCATTATAATTAAAAATCTTCAAAATTTGATTATTTTTTTTTTTATATTTTTAAAAACTTAATTATTTTTTTTTTTTAAATTTATCAAATTTCAATTATTTTTCAAAGATTTTACTAAATTTAAATTATTTTTTGGACATTTTCTAATTGTCCAAAATGTATGTATGTAGTTGTAAAACTACTTTCAAAATTTATTTAGAAATATTTTTAAAAAGTTCATTTTACGAATTTTTTTATTAAAATGTTTGAAAATAGTCTACCTTAATATTTTTCTTTAAAAAGAAAAATGGACGGTTTCAATTATTATAAAAAATTGAATTTTCGTATTTAAATAATTGAATTCTTGAAGAACTTTCGGAAAATTATTAAAAATTAATATAGATAATTGATTTAGAGATGAAGTTTATAGTTAAAAATAATTAAATTTTTGGAAGGGTTATAGTTTTAATTTTTATAAAATATTAAATTTCAGAAGTTGAAATTTTTTAAATTTTATTTCCTGTGAAAAAGAATAAGAAGTATTTAAATATTTATTTAGCAAAATTATACAAGTTTTGATTAATTGAATTTAGAAATCAGTGAAGAATCAGGGAAATACAAAATCAAATTTTTGAGATAACGCACTAATGACGAAATTAAATAAACGACTTTTTTTCTATTTTTAATCAACTAAAGCGACTTTTTTTGCTCCGAGGCATGAATTTTGTAATATTTTTACAATATTCTAGATTTCTAGAACTAAGTGAAACTAAATCTTGTTGGACATTTTTTAATACAAAAAAATTTTTTAAATAGAGTTGCATTCCGACTCGTAGAGCATATTATAATTCAAAAAAAAGTTTATTTCCTTCAATGATGTGAATTATTAAAAATAAAAATATTCTACTTTTTATTTAAAACTGAAAGGATTTAAAATGAATCGTGAGTCAGCTAGAGTCAATAAATATTTATTAAAATAACACAAAATGTATGTAAATTTTATTGTGTATAAATATTAGATTAAATTTTCATAGGAATGTTGAAAAAGAGA